CATTGCAACCAATAAAGTTTTATGAACAAGGAAGAGCATAACGCCATGTGTCTAAGTATGTCATAACATGAAATGGCCATATATTCTTATGCAAGCCACGGGGCCCAGGTATCGGCAGAATAAAAACTAATGCGACGGGCATCTTCGTACATACAAATTGTCCGATCACCGTTCATCAATTCAAGGAAATTCGTTGAACTTGTAAAATTTACATAGAACTAGACTTGTGTTAGGCAATAGTGTCCGAGAAAGATATACTTAAATGGGAATTATTGATAACTTTATAACTAATACTTATTAATGTTCAAGTCCAAAAGTAACTCTTCTAGACAAACTTCAGGTGTAACTTACATAGTTCCAAATGTTCCAATATAACGTACCTATGGCACAGTTAAGTTACTACGTCGCGTCGTATGATTGATTTTATCAAAGTGTAGTTAAACGTTGTTAAATTAATAACCTTTTAATACCAGGTTTAAAAATAAACTGACAATAACCTAAAACAAAAATAAAACGATATAAAAATAGCATTTTAAAAATCCTATCAAGGAATCACCAAATTCACGCAAACCATCCATAAAAAGGACACGTAATTACAAACTGTAATAAAGTCTACATTTGAGTAACTGGCAGCAAATGATTATTTTGTAGAATTAGTACAGCAAAGGGCGAAGGAACGTACTGGCCGCATAGAATGCCGACCAAAATAGATCGAAGGCGACAATGAAACAATGTAAAATGAAATAAAAAGTAATCGCGATCGAAATTCGAATCACGCGTTTGATGCTATTCTTTTTTGCGGAGAATTTGAAAAATGTTTTTAATTGCGATAGTTTTTTGTTTTTATTTTACTTGTAGTTGCTTATTTTTGTATAATTTATGTTACTGAGTGATGTTTCTCAGTCTACAGAGGAGAATTAAGTCATAAACTTATAGCCACAAATGCGGCATGGCTGGAAAAAATTGCGTTTATTGTCCAATAAAGCGCTGAAATAGACGGTTTATTGGGCGAAGCACAGCTAGATACCCGGGCCGGTGGTTTGGCAGGAGTTTTGCGGAAATAAGGAATAATAAATTCTAATAATAAATGATTCATCTTCTAGCACATCATTAAATCTATTGCAGAAGTAAATCGACATTACTGTAAAAGAAAGATGATTGTAAGCTGTCACTTCAATCAATATGTGTCAAATATTTCACTTTGTTGCGTCTGCATTTCAAACTTCTAGGTCGCACACCAACTCTTGAGATATGTTTTATTTCTATCTTTGTAACCACACCAAAGGATAATCCATGTTTTCGTGAGTCAAGATCCTCTTAGGGATGGGTTACGCCAATTGAATTAGGTTTACAACTCGGAACATTGGGTAATCTGTTTAATTGTGTCCACACTTTGAAGGCGAGCTTTTGATTTCATTGGGACTAATGAGATGCATCCTGGCGTGAGCGCTGTTATAATATTTCATTTGGTCATAACTTGCGAACACGGGGTTGTCCACTTTTAAACTGTGGGCTGTAAAAAGTTATCGATTCGCGTATCTACTTTTTCTAGGAAATAAATGCTAGAACACAAGTGATAATTCGAAATCACATCTAAAATGAATTTATTTTATAGCCACTGATGTCAGAGTTTTTCGGGGCCATAATAATAACTGAGGATGAGATGTGGATTTAACTGCAACTAGGTACTAACTCCTTATTTTTTATGACTTTTCTAATAATATATGTCATTTATACAAACATTTTTAACGTAAGCAATTAATTAATATTTAATTGAGTTATCGAATCTAATGAGAAAGGCATTAATCATTCTTTGATGTTACCTAAAGCCTGTAATTTTCACATTATTCCCAGACAGAACTCGAGATAAATAACACATTATTAATAACTATATCGATTGTGACGGAATGTTCACACGACTAAAAAATCTCGCTCAATATTCACACCTTTGCAAGACTAGCCTTCTGACGTGGCTCTACTCGTGGTGGTGAAAATGTTGGCAACTAGGTATTCGATTTTCAATTCGTTAATAAATGTTGGAAAAACCGTAGTAGCGAAATATAATTTCAATGTAAAAAACACCAAAAAAGTAATCATGCGTTTTATTCCACCTGAAGCACTATTTTTTTTTAATTCGTATTTAGCACTACGAAACTAAGTAAATTATTTCTATAAAAAAATATTGTGGAGCTTTCCTCTTTAAATTCAAATTATTTTATTGCATGTCACAATACATGGGTAAGCCACTTTATACCGCCGCGTGCGCATCGCCTTGCGATTAACAAAATCCAGAATCTTAGTCAGCCGCAACATTATTATCTTCTAGGTCGCCCCCAAACATTCGACTGCGAGCCTGCGACGGTAATCGCAACACCTCTACTCCATCTGGTATTTCACTAAATCATAAACATGGCTTATAATAACGCGTGCCACATATTAACAGAGGAAGCCGGGATATGTAAACTAACCCAAATAGTGAGGGGCAACGAACGACTAGTGTTGTCCCAGTAATCGGTTTTTTCTGTCATCGTCCGTCGACGGATCATTAATCATTAGTTTTGGTCTAAGTTTGGAGCGAAGATGAGGCTAATGCGGTGATGATTGGGAAATGTGTATTGTTCTTGTTCTCATCCTAGAATGTGCCTTGACAGTTACCTAGTTTGAGGGAAGTGACATTGACAGCTACAATTCAGTGCAAGGCTAATTAAAAACATCTTCATGAAGCAAACAAGCAAGCTCGGGCCCGATGCCGAGAATTCGCGAACTTGTAACTTCTATTTTAGGGCTGTCAATCTTTTATTGATTTGACTTCTTTTTGCAATGTTTCAGCGGCTATACACGTAAATGACTTAAATTATTACAATCAATCAAATACATAGTTGATTAGTTAGGATTACTTTTTATCCAAATCTACGCTAAGTCTACATAAAGTCTCGAGCAAAAGCTCTAGCTACCTATAAAGCTTTTGGAGAATAAAAATTGTTATGTTGAAAATGTCAAATCATATTATTTAATATGAAGTTTAAGCAAATCTCCAAGAGCAACAAGCAGCGTCCGTAATGAAGTCATCTGATGTGCATTAATGGCATAATTTAGTGTGGATTTAAGTAAAACCAAGCAAAGCCAGCTTCCCAATGGAGCCGTCTGCTCCGGTCGACCACCGGACCACGTGCGGCACACGGGGCCTGGCACACCCTTGGGAGCCGTGGAGTCGGCTTAAGCATGAAATTTTTTTGAAAAAAGAAATACAATAAAATAAAATGTGGGTTATTTTGATATAGATTCAAGATGTTTGAGAAAAACAAATACAAGGAGTATAGTAAACTAAGATTAAAACATATACACAAAATAAGGTAAACTAAAATATTGACAGAATATCGGCAAAATTCACAAGTTATGTTTACGTGGGGATTAATGAAAGTGAAATGATAAGTAAATATTTTCATTTCATTAATGAATCAATCATAAGGAATGTCGTCATTTAGTCTAGTCTAGTAAGTATTTAAAACACCGCTAGACGTTTTAATAAATTGGCTTTTAACTTTAATTTAATATAAGCCTAACAACCACTAGGTATAATTATGTGTCTAATGACGCCCGGCGGCCTTTGTAAACAAAACAATTAAGTGGTAAACAAACAATTTGTTAATTTATCGCTATATTCTAGTAAGCAGCTATTTTACCGGCATTTGATACCATTTAGATCAATCATATCAGTTTTTGTATATTAATGACCATTAATTGACACAATATACTTTGCTCTTTTCTTGGGTATGGACTGTCCCGGTGAATTTGCTCTTACTATTATTTAAGAAAATGCAGACTGACGTTAATTTACCTTTAATCATGTTATTGGCATTATTTCACTAACAAAAAATATTTTATACCTACATTTTTAATAAAATAATTTAAAGAACATGCTATTCCATCCCCGGCGCTGTCCGAAAAGCAACAAAAACATATTGTTTGCCACGTGTTGCGCGCGCGCCGAATGCTAAAGGGACCGGGTTCGAGTCCCGGCACAATGGACCCGGACTTCGAAACTGACTGAACGGACTAATTGCTTTATGAACAAAAGCTAATGTGGCTTTCTTGAAGACGCTCTTGCAAGATGACATTGATCATTCCATGTGTATGTATTTTGGTATATTATACACAAGGTCATGTTATGTGATTTGCCATTGCAAATAATATAGGTATCATTAATAATTGGTTTTGTTGTTAAAAAGACAGGCAGTTCCGACATGTTAAGAGGACTGCCGATTTTATAGTGTCAAACGGTCGCCAGCGCCACGCCAATATATTGGCGCCCAAAATATTAGTCCTATACATACATGATAGTCAACTGATTTTTAGCGGGACGTACATGTACAACACACCAGTATGGCCCCCAAATGTACAATATGCTAGTTCTTGCGATACATGGTGTCAGTCAATGGAGTTTTGGCGGGAGCTAAAGCGCGCGACACAAACTTGACTCGATAGAGAATCTAACTTGGAACCCTTGCGTTTACTCTGCAACTGCAATATCAAATCATTACAGATTGTACTATTGTCAATCAATTAACTACACAGTATAGATAAATAAATAAGATACAGCTATTACTTTACCTATCAGTATTTAGTTAAAACTAGTAAGTTAACATCAATACTGTTTATTAGTCAAACATAACTAATTAATAAATAATCGTTCCCCAAATTAAGATTTTAATGAGTACTTGCTGAGCCGCAAAAAATAACGGCATTGATAAATTATACAGCTAACGATAAACTTCGGAATTCCAGTTAATTTTAATGGGAAAATGTGACTAATCTGACACACGTTCTTATCATTCCTCCCGCGCGTTTTTTAACTCGCGCACATTTTTATAATTAATTCTAATCGCCGAAAACAATACCGAGAAACGTTAGTCACGTCCAATATGAAACTAATTACGTTTTCATAATATGCCGCCGTTCTAAATTTAATTATATCTTAAAATAAACACAAATCGGCTTACCAGATACACGGAATGTGCACAATTCACGTACTGGCATCCGCAAATACGTTCCCACAACAAGTAACTTGTCAAAACTGTTTTGTTCACAAAAATTCGATGCACAAGCACAAGTAAATAAAGTGGAACTAGGATTGTCCGAACACGAAAACGCGTTGCTATCGCGGTTTGGAACGAGCGCGGTGACGTCCGCACGCTGCGACGCTCGAGTAACGACTGAAGAAATTGAAACGGAGCTTTCAGCGAAGCTGCGCCCGCGCTACGACCGGCGCGCGGGCAATACAGCCGTCTCTTTCTCCGCCCTAGAAAGCGTTCGGCTTGTTGTGCTTCCGTCTCGCTCGCGCGCTATGTCGCGGTGGAAATGGGAAACGCAATGACGCGCGCGTTGCGTAACGCACGGTGCACTATGATTTATTCGGTCGCTTGATTAATGATTTCTTTGCTTTCCGTTTGGCTTTTATTTATGTTTTTCTTTGAGTTTGACGGAACGGATGCTTAGAAGTGTACGAAAATTTTTATTCGTAATTTATGCCCTGATATTTTTGATGATCATAAGTGCATATTTCATGCGCTACATGATTTTGGTTTATGATCAACTATTTTTTAAATCTCTCTGTCTTGATCGAATATATTAGAGTGCTTCGTCAAAATAGATCTGTTAGCCTTGGGTTACAAGTTCATTGCCAAATTCGAATTTTATGGAGATACCATTCGATAACATTTGACCTATTAACAACGTATTATACAAGGTTACCTTCACTGTAACGTAAAACTTACTCGAATGATATTTCACACACAACAAAATAAGGTACTAAACTTACGTTTCCTAGACTTGGCTGTGATTTTGTAGATGAGTCAGTTACGAAAAGGAGAAACGATTTTATTACAGACGAAGCTTACGGCTTTTCTCGGATCTCTCAAATGAAAAATCGAACGCGCTTTCCCAGAATTATATAAATAACTCTACCGAATAGAAAAACAATCTCTCCATAACAAAATAATGAGAAAGGCAGTAGTATATCATACCTATAGCACAGTTCTCCGCTGTGTCTTAGAGCCAAAGCACACGATGCGTTGCGGCGCCGTACCGCAAAGAATTCGCCGTTATCGCACGGCACGGCGCCGCACCGCTCGTGTGCCCGCTACAGATATTTCTATGTAAGACGACGCAACGACACCGCTCCGACATCGCACCGCGCCGCAACGCATCGTGTGCTGTGCCTCTTACTGCTTCGTGGAAGATCCTCGCTGTTCCGGCTTCCTCTTCCATGAAGCAGTTAATGGGCCGTATAATAACCAGGCCGGGAATATAGATGTAACCCGTTTTGTAACTTTACTGTTACAATTTCGTATGAATTCGTAAATGCGAATTCGTGACTTTAATGTTGTGTAATAATTTGATTAATTGTTCCTTCAATATAATTCGTTCACTAGGACAAATTAAATTAATAAGCAAGAAATAGTAATGAATTACAAGATAAAGACACAGCAAAGTATCGGGGATAATTAATTTTAAGTTTATGTATTGAGTCGGTAAAAATTTTTCGTCGTTGTCTGTACACAGACAATACGATTCCGTTGTTTCGACACTTAATTCACACACCTAAAAGTACGTAAACCGTAAATGGTATTTCATAATCATAACAAGTCATAGCGCAGGCGAGTGCGACGGCTGCTCTCCCATTCATAAGCGCGCTAACTTTAGCCGTAGTTAGCCGCTTTTAATAGATCCATTCACGAATCGATCCGATCGATCTACGCCGAGCTGAATGGCGATATTTATAAGAGCAACTTTGGTTTTATAGGCTTTGTGCCGTTAATGGCCTCTATTTGGGAATTGTGTAGTAAGTACACACTACTTTTATTGTATGCTCATTATTAATGATGAACCAAACTAATCCTAAATGCGAAAGTTAGGTTTTTCTGTTACATTTTTCGCCTCAACCACTGAACAATTTTAATTAAATAATTCCATAATATGTAGAGACAGAATGGTTGTATAGGCTACATTTTAGCGCAAAAAATAAAACTTGAAAAGGGTGGCAAAGTCTAAGAGTAGGCGCACACCGTTGATTTTTCGTCGGCCGATAGTTTAGTCGGGCAGTTGATCAGTATGAGCATGTATGGGAGTGCGCCGCTTACGCCTACGCCGATTCAATTTTCGATTCTTCATACAATTTAAAATCAGGCACAACTATCGGCCAACTAAAAATCAACGGTGTGCGCATACTCTAAGGCTGAGTTGCACCACCTAATGACGATAACCGGTGCTTTTTGTATGGAGTTTGACAGATTTTTGACGTTTGTCAAAGTTAAAGTAAGATGGTGCAACCCAGCCTAACCTTTTAAAAACGCATAACTGAAAACTATGCGGACGAAGCTGTATGCAAAAGCTTATATGAAGTTGAAAATGTAGAAAATTTAACTGGTTAAGATTGAAATGCGACATTTTGTACGTTTTTAAGTATTCCCAATCCCAAACCATCAATCAGTCACCAAGTCCAGTAGTCTCAATTTGTACGCCGTGATCTACGATGTTCCATCTTCCGGCGCGCGCGCACAGAAGAGATGTCGTTTACAAAAACCATGATATTTTCACTGAAGCACTGGTAATTACGTGTCACTTTGGAGATTGGGGGGAAAGGTCGTTTGTGAATGGAATTGTCAGTGATGTTGATTGAAAAAACTTTTGGAATTTGGGAAACGACCATTGAAGAAAGAAGAATGTAAAAGATAGAGGCATAACTAAGTTTTTCGAGGCGAGAGTGAATGAATAGGCACTTACAGGGCAGATATGTACCATCCTAGACCGCATCTCACATAACATCAGGTGCGATTGTGATCAAACCTGCCTAATTCTGCATAAAAACATGATTGGCATTAATTTGTAAGTTCCCAGGTCTATATTTTATTGGCATAAAGCGTTAAATAAAAATGTTTATCACACTCTTCCCGCCTCACTTGCAGCCTTGCGGTTTGCAGTACAGCGAGCGCATAAACACCGCCAATATCAACACGAGGCGCCGCGCCGTAACCTTTGCGCCTACGCACGCCGCGCGACACAGATGTAGAGCCAAAGACAAAATGGATATCGCAATTATTTTCTAGGTGCACTGAAAAATATGATTGGTTTATTTATTTATTAGGTCTACCAACATTGTTACATAACAACATGTACACATTACATTACATTGGTTACAGCTTACACAAAAAAGTAACTAGCGAACTAAGTGTTAACTATAACCAAACTTTAGCTTTCTACAAAATAGTTTGTTGAATTTACTCAACATTTCATAACCAAATGAGTAGTTAGTAATAACCTCCAGTTCGGCAGTCACTTTTTTGTGTAAGCAGTAACCAACAATTTTTTTCAGTGTGACAAATAAATTGTGGTCAGGGAAATAACACAGAAAATCTTCAGATGTCATATGGAGAATCCAGAAAATCATCATCAGGTCATAATTTAGTCTTTGCTGCAGGAGCAAGACCCTCTCTTATTTGCCAAAGGGAAATGGAGGATAAATCCTCAATGGGGTAACCAGAAGGACAACGTGGCAAGGGTTGGAGAAAAACCAAAGAAAGAGAATCCAAATCAAACGAAACTGTTTTGTGTTAATAAACATATCATAGCGGAAAAAATGTAGAGCCTTGCAAAATAAAATAATTACCCCCTTTCAAACTTTTTCGCTAAGCAATGAGAAAAAAGAGAAATAAAATAACAATTAAACAAACTGACTCAGTCATCATCACTTTTTATCGCTACCTTTTGTAAGCACAAGCGAAGAAGGAAAACATAGCGCCAACATTAAAATAAGGATATCCAGTACTTTATATCTTCATCACATGCGTATTGTTGTATTGTTCATCCATTACCTCATAATCTGCTGTCATCTTCTCTAAAATAAACCTTATACTTATCAGCATAAGGTTTATGGGTTTGCCACAGCGAACGCAAATAATAAGATATCTAAGAGAAATTATATTGGACACTCAGAGAAAAGAACAATATAACAGTTTGACGGCTACAAGGCAAACGAATTATGGGTGAATAAGTGTAGTAGATATTTTTCAACGTAACATTATGATGTACCAACAACAATACAACTTACACTGTCACAACAATGCACCCTTTCAAGAGCTAGAGTGCTTACTATTTTATTGGACAGGCTTGTCGCGGGTAATTTGGATCTCTCTCTCTCTCTCTCTCTCTCTCTCTCTAGATTATGAAAATTGAAGACAAAAGGTAAACAAAGATATTTCAAGTTTTTTTTGTACAATATAGGCATAGGCATTTAATCTATTCGTATATTTGTTATACACGATGTAGGTACCCCAAGTCAGTCAGGAAAATAACGATGTCTCGTTCCATATTTTCCAAGCGATCAGAGGTGAAATTGTGTAAAGCAATCGTAATTATTTGACAGTTCATAACGTACGATAAAATTCGTTAAACAAAGCGTTTGACAGAATAGTCGAATACGGTTGTTTAACGATCATAGCCGAGATTGCTTCTGACTAAGATACACATTATTAACTAATATTGGTATTTCTTATCCAATTTATATTACTACCCTTAGATCAAATCTAAACCGCTGACTCTTCCGTGCTGGTAAATTACCATGTGACCACCACCTTATCCTTGAAACTGTTCCTGAGATTTTTATCTCCCAGCCGGCAGAGCAATTTGCAATCTCGCATCAGTTCAAATATAATAATAGGCCGTATTGACACCGGGCTGCGCAGGAGTGCCGTTTAGCGGAGATTTACGACGCGGAATTGCTATCGAATAGTTGTGGGCTTGGCCAGAACTGGGCTTCTGGGAGAAGGCTACGATGCTTTTGTTTTAAAACACTTACTGGAATACCCTATAAACACTTTACCCATTTGGACAAGGTGGACTTGATCCCGGAAGTAAGCTATGATGTCTTCCGATCCATAATTAAATCAATCTGACAAAATTAAAATGTCTACGGAGTTTAGAGTTCATCTTTTTGGAATTGATTGATTTTTGTGTTAAGAGGGAACCTATTTCCCTCCCCAAGGCCTAATTTAAATACTTACCTATACTATACTACATCAAGCCTGATGAAGCTATCTTAGTCAACTGCTGAACATGTAACCTCTTTAACTTTTACCTATATCGTCGCCCCATCCCATAAATTTTAAATTACTGATTTTCTATAATACCCCATCATTTTCGGGTA